CGAGTAGGAGCTGGATGTGGGCAGGGAGCCCGCGTAGCCCGGGAAGGCCTCGTGCCGGTAGCCGGCCGGGAAGGCGGCTGCCTCGGCCTCCTCCTCCTCCTCGGCCGCGCTGTCGGTGGAATTCTGGGCCCGCAGGAAGCCCACGTCGGCCACCGGCCCATCCACGCTGGGCCGCCGGTCACGCCGCCGCTCCTCGGGACAGTAGAGGGCTGTGTCGCTGCAGTAGATGTCCTCCTTGTAGGGGGGCCGGGGGCCCGGCTTCTCCACCCCGTCGCGGAAGGTCAGGTCACGAGCCGAGGCATCCGACAGCTGGGAGGACAGGCTGCCAGGGTCAGGCTTCTCCAGCACCTTGGCAATGACGCATGTTGGGACGCTGTCAGCGTAGGACGGGTGGCAGAGTGGGGCGGGCAGGCTGCAGCCGTGCTTCTCCATGTGCAGGCTCACGCGCTCCTGGAATTCTGATGGCAGCTAGAGTGGGATGGGCGCGAGGAGGAGGGGAGGGCAGGCACAGGGGTCAGAGTCAGCCCCGGACTGGCAGCTGAGACTGATCGACAGGCAGATGGACAAACAGGGATCTGCCCAGGACTTCTGAAATTGCACCAGCTGGAGCTGATGCCCAGGGTGCTGAATTTTACAAGCTCCTGGGATGTGCCAGAGGACCCTGGTCACCCCCACAGACCCCGGCTCACTCCAGCTGGACCCCGCAGAGCCCGGAGGCTGGAACCAGGGGCTGACTTGGGTCCCTCTTGGGTCTCCCACCGAGGGGCTGACTTGTTCCCCAGCCCCAGGGTCTCTGGGGGACACCCCCTGCCTAATCGTACAGCCTAAGTCCTCCCAAATAAGACAGACTCAGAAACAGATGCAACAAAGATTGAGGCCCAGGCGCCCAGCAGTTTCCGCATGAGCACGTGGGGCCTTGTGGGGGACGTCCCGCTACTGTTTGATCTATTTTGTGAGTGTATCAGGTGTGGCCAAGGCTCAGGGAGAGGGGACATGCACAAGGCCTGGGTGAGGGGAGTGAGTGGGGCCGGGGGCGGGCAGCCTGGCTGGGGTGGGAGCACTGAGTCCTGTGTGACCTGTGGCCTTGGCCATGTGACCCTCGTGTGAAGCCAATATTCTTATCTCTGAAATGGGCACTGTCAGTAACTGGGCCCAAACCAAACCAAGGGGTTTCTGTGAGGCTCACACAGGGTCACTCGGCCACTGAGGGCTCAGCCGGTGGGGCCCTGGAGCAGCCCCCAGGCCCCTCCACCACACACTCAGAGAGGCCAGGACACGGCAGGAGCGAGGAGGGCCAGAGGGGCTCCGGCTCACCCAGCGCCTCCCCTCAGGGTGGGACCTGCAAGCTAGGAGCCCCAAGCAGTCCTGGGGGCAGCGGTGGGCCTGGCTGGGGCGGGGCTCACGTTACCTCGGACACCTTATGGACCCTGCCGTAGGTCTGGCTGCACTGCAGCAGCTGGGCCGCTAGATTGCAGTCCTTCCTATAGAGCTCCTAAAAGACAAGAGAAGCCGTTTGGCTGAGGCTCGCCCCTTGCCAAGGTCCCTGCCGTCCTGACCCGCGCCCAGTGGCCAACATGGACACTGGCGGGCAGAGCGGACTATGAGGTGGGTGGGACCAGGACCCTCTCCAGGCCTCACACTCCCGCCTGCAGAATGGGGGCCCACAGCCCTGACCTGGAGCTGCTGGTGCACGGAGGGCGCCCTGCCAGGGGGTCCTGCTGCTGACCCGGGTAGGAACCTCCCACAAGGTGGGGGCAGTGGCAGAAGGGCCCCCGAAGGCCCCTGAAGTCCCAGAGGCTCCAGGCATGGACACCGGGCCTGGTCTCCCTGCCCTTGGCCTCCCGAGTTTTTCCAAAGAGAAGTCAGTGGGGTGTGCCAGCCCAGCAGGGGGATTAGGAGTGAGCCTGTGGCCCCCACGACTCAGATCCAGGCCTGGCAACTCGGGGTTGCTGCAGGGCCTGTCAAGGGTCAGGACAAATGGGAGCAGAGTCTGTGTGACCCCAGGTCCAGGCAGGGACCAGCTCAGCCTCCTGAGCTGAAAACAGATGCAAACAGTAGGAATAGAATGGATTTGGTTCCATCTTTGGAAAATCTCTGTTGCATGTGCCTGTGGCTGGGCCTTTGTTCTTCCCCCAGCCAGGGGGCCTCCGCCACAGGGGTTCGGGGGGGGAGTCCAGGGCCCGCTGACAGGCCCTGAAATCCACCCACTCCCACAGTCTCAGCTCAGCCAGGACCAGGTGTCCTGCAGCTCAGGTGAGCTGTTGAAGGCGTGCCTGCCGCCCCCACCCTGGTCCTGGAGGCTCCCTTACCTCCACCTTCTGTACTGAGGTTGGTGCCCCCAGCCTGGCCTGCACAGTGGAGGGAACCCAGGCCCCCCTCTCCCTCAATGCATCCTTACAAGGGCTCACTTGGCTGAGAGCTGAGAACTGACCCCCTGTGAGGCCCCAGACTAGCTACTGCTGGCACCAGATCTGCCACTGAATTGTTAACAGCCTTCTGAGCGCTGCCCGGTCCCGGGGCATAACCCCTGCTCTGCGTGCGCTGCTCCGCCATCTCCCACCTGCCTCACCTCCACTTAGATGTCCAGGGCAGGGCTCCAACCCCGTGCCTCTGCTCCTCCCCCGGGAGGCCCCAGCCCAGGAGCTGGCAGGTCTCTTCTCCTGCAGGCTCTGACCCCTGCTGCCAGGCTGGACCCACTTCTTCCTTTCACATCCCACATCCCAAATCTCGGTCAGTCACTTTGGCTCCATCTTCAAAATATCACCAGAATCCAAGCCCCCCCTCCCACGGCCGCGATCGTGGTGAGCCACCATCGTCCGTTGTCATCTGGATTGTTGTCTCTGCCTACTCACGGCCCCGTCCCCAGTCTGTCAGCACAGAGGCCACGTGAGCCCAGTAAGAGTGTGAGTCCAGTCAGGCTACCTCTCTGATCAAGAATCTTAAACTGCTCCCTATTTCACTCAGAATAAAACCCAGGCTCCTACAGGAGACAACACAGCAGGGCCTACTGTCATCTCTCTGACCTCAGACGCTGGGCCGCTCCTCCCTGCAAGAGCCCGCCCTGGTCTCTGCTCTTCCTCAACTTACCCAGCCGCACCTTTGCCGCGATGGCTCCTCCTGCTGGGAAGGGACGCCCCTCCCCGAGGCCCCATTGTGGCTGGCTCCCTCATCTCCTTCAGGTCTTGGCTCCAGCACCCTCCTCCAGAAGCACCCTACTGACACTCGCCAGCCCTGCAGCTGGCGACTCCCGGCACCGTCCCTGCTGTATTTTCCTCTGCAGCACTAAGCACTCCTAACTCACTACAGAGTGTGCGTATTTATTCTGTTTAGTGTCTATCTTCTCCACTCAGGTGTAAAGTCCACGTGGGCAGAGAACTTGTTAGTCTGTGTTGTTCACCCCATTATTGTCAGAGCCTTGCAGGGTCTGGCAAGGAGCAGATACTAATGAGTGAGTGTGTCCTCAGCCGTGGAGGGCAGCGGGGCCTAGCTCACCGGGGCCCTGGAAATCAGGACCCCTGGGCAGTCACGTGGCTCTGATGCCCACTGGAAGGCCGGTGTCCTGAGTGGCCATGCCCTAAGCCTGGGGTCAGGAAGCCCTGCCTCGAACAGGATAATGTGGCCCAGTGCCCAGTGCCCACTACCTCAAGTCCTGTTTCTTTCCAGCAAAGGGTCTTCAGGACACCCTTGGCAGTGTATCTCAGGGAGGGGAGGGCAGCCCTGTCCTTCCCGATCGCCCAGGTACTCCCTGAGGTCCTGACTGCCCTCACTCAGCCCTGGGCCCGCCCCTTCAGGGTCAGGATGGCCCAACACTCACATTGTCCTCCGACAGCTTGTCAATGGTCACCTTGGCCTCCAGCAGGTGGCTGTTGAGGGCAACAATCTCGTGGCTAAGAGCTCGCTTCTCTTCCTCGTAGTGCTGCCCCTGGAGTGTGGGATGGGCAGGGGAGATGGTCAGCGGTCAGCTGAGGCTTGGGGCTCCAGCCCAGTGGTTCCTTCTGGCCTCCTGTATCAGCCCTCTTGCAGCCGATAAACAGGTGTTTGGAGGCCAAGGGATGCAGGGCTAAGAGCACAGGCTGACCCAGGTTCAAATCCTGCTCTGCAGGCCACTGCCTCCCTGAGCCTCAGTTTTTCATCTGCACCTTGGGGACAGTGACGTCATGCCCCCTGGGAGTCTGGGCTGAGGACTGAGTGAGGATGACTTGTGCTTTCACTGCACAGATTGGGAAACTGAGGCTCAGAAAGGCAAGGGTTCTTCTCCAGGGTCCCAAGAGGAGCTAGCCCAGCCCCAGGCCTGTCTGCTCCCTGGCAAGCAAGTGGTGAACACCTGCTTGTGATTTTTCTCATCGTAAGCAAACTAGAAAGAGAGGGAACTCCTATTTCAGTGAAAGGGGAGTTCCAGAAGCCCCCTTGCCCCACCTCGAGGGTCAGATCTAGAAGCTTCTCTTTAAAGTCAGAGGGGACCGCGGGGGGCCCCCGTCACCATTCCTACTTCTCCAAACAGATGCCTCACCAGGTCCCTCCCCATCTGCTGCCGGGGGAGGGTCTTCTAGGATTTCTGCCTGCCCTACGTCAGGCACCAACACGGTCTCCTTTATTCCTCACAGGAAGGTGTGTGTGGGGAGTCCCTGTGAGAGGCAGAACCCCAGGGCCTGAACTCGGCCTGTGTCCTCCCAGGTCTGGGGTCTAGGCTGGCCTGTGAGCTGGGTGCCCATCCCCAGAGTGTGCCCCTCTCCCACTGCCCCGCTCACACGCCTCTAGACCCTGATGCTGAGGCTCACTGGGCAGGCCTGAACCTACAACTCCCTTGTGTTGAGAGCACCCTCCTGTTCGGGGCAGAAAAACATGGGACTGGCCCAGCCCCAGGGGTGGGGGGAGGGGCGGAAACGAGGCCTGTGGCCCAGCTCTGCAGGGGCAAGAGGATGACAGTCAGGCCATTGGCCTCCACAGTGGTTCCAGAGCTGGGGGCCCAGGGCTGGGAGTGCTGGGGTAGGGTGAGGCGCGCCCTCACCATGCGGTACAGCTTGTCCTCCAGCTCCTGGTTGATCCTTTGCAGTGCCATGTAGTTGCTCTGAATCCTGGAACAGAGGCAGTGAGGTCACTGTGTGCCAGGCCGGGTCTGCCCCTCCATGTGGCCCCTAGAGCCACACAGCCCGCTGAGGGCTGAACACAGGCCCCACGCCGGTCTAACTGCTCCTCTGCACACAGAAGGGAACATCTGCTTTAAGCTAACTTTCCTGGGCCGGGGCTGAAGGCCCCTGCCGATGAGATGGGGAGGCTACTCACAAGCGACTCTGTCGGGTCCTCACTCAGAGCCCGTTAATGCACATTTTACACACAGTCCTTACAAGCCTGGCTAAGGGATTGATAGTTCAATAGCAGGTTAGCAAGGAATAGACTATGTGATGGGCCTGGGGTGAGTGGTGGAGACACACAGTGAATAAGACATGGTTCCCCTGGAAGAGGCTGAGGGGGAGTCAGGTGTCGGGTGGGAATCCACTGCTGCCCTGCGGTGTGACGGTGGATGGCAGTGTCGATCCTCTTGACCGCCTGTGTGTAGTGTTACTGCCCTTGTCTTGCCAATGGGGAAACTGAGGCTTGAGGTGCTTAAGTGGTAAGGGACAAATGGCCCGACTGGAAATTCAATGCTCTATAAATATTTAAAACTAACCAAGCCAACAGCAGTTTGCGTTTTCTTTACATTTTCCTAAAGGAAGGCGGGAAAGTGTGTAATATTTTTTAGAAAAATATCCTTTTTATGTGTTTAATGTGCAGAACGGTGTCTGTAGAAGTTTCGTTTTTAAGGGAGAAATTGCTCAGCGACTTGCACACCTTGCCTGACACTTTACTCGTGGCTGTGCTTCTCAAGGGAACTGTCCCTAAATGTTCGTTCATCTCCAGGGCTAGACATTGCTTTCCTATCAGAGACCCAGGCAACAGTGGCTGGGCCCCTGGTGGACCAGTCTGGGTCTGGAGACCACTGCCTCTGTGTCAAGCTGCTGCCCCACCAAATAAACACGAGAGAAGGAATGAGTAGTGGATGGAGATGTGCCTGGGCGGGAAGCCTGTTCCTGGCAGTAGACAGACCCAGGTTCGGCTCCTCATTTGGTAGCTCTTGGCACAAAGTGGAACTTTGGAAAAGCTTTGTCCCCACTGAGCCTTGGACTCCCCGCCCTCAAATGGGGTTAACAGCTCGGTGGCCCGTCGCCGGCCCCCGGCCCCGCCCCCGTACCTGCGCAGCTTTTCCGTGACCTTCTCCAGCTCCTCCTGCGCGCGGCGCAGCTCGATCTCCAGGTAGTGGCGCGTGGAGTCGAACTCGGTCTCGAGCTTCTCGAGCTTGTGCGTGGTGTAGGACAGCCGCTTGCGCAGCTCGCCCTTCTGCTCCTGCAGCGCGCTGCA